AAAAAACTATTTCAATCAACAACAACAACAATAAACCTATCAAAACGTTTTTTTTTTGCAAAGAATTAACCTTTTGGTTGAATCTCAAATTTTTGGTTGACGCTTTAAGTTTTTGGTTGACTTTCTAAGTTTTTGGTTGAACTCAAAAAAGATTTGAACTCAGAGATCACAAACTAGGGTAGTGGTGCAGGGAGTAGAGAAGCCAAGCTTGTGATCAAAAGGCAGCTGTTTCAACTCCAGTTTGGTATCCATGTTGCACATGTGTGATAGGTTAAATGCAGAGACTTAAAAAAAGACCTATTATGCAAAAATCACTTTTTAAAGTTTTTTTTTAACTCAACTTTGGCAAATAGGCTTTAACAAGGCTTTTATAAGCTAAACAATAGAAGTACATGAGAAAACATGTTCATAACAAACGAAAATAAAAAAATTTAATTCTTTGTGTCCATGTCGGTCTCAATCCCTAGTCTCCCACCCTCTGATACAACACTCTACCCACTGTGCTACAGGAGGCTTGTTATAAAATGAGCTGCACATTACACAACAACACCGTGACAGCTTTTTATACAGAGGAGGAGGAGGAGCTTCACCTGGGGTTTGCTAGGTAAGGGGCTGAACGCAGGTTCTGGTGGGTTGTCGTACGGCTTGTGACATCACAAAATGTAGGAAGTATAAAACTTATCATTAATATACATTAAAATACATTTACTTACAGTAAATATGCCCTTGGGTGCATTTTTTTGGTCTTAGGACTGTTTTCTTAAGAAGTACACACCCAAAGTTGAGTAAAAAAATTTAAAAAGTAAATTTTGCATATTAGGTCTCCTTTAAGTCTCTGCATTCAACCTATCACACATGTGAACACACGTGCAACATGGTGACCAAACTGGATTTGAACCAGCTACCTTTTGATCACTAGCTTGGCTTCTCTACTCCCTGCACCACTACCCTAGTTTGTGATTTCTGAGTTCAAATCTTTTTGAGTTCAACCAAAAAATTAGAAAGTCAACCATGTCCAACTCGCGAGCGCCCCCTTTGGTGGGGAAACATTTTTTCAGGGATACAAACTTTTTCAGAACGCAGCCATTGCAGACAAACATGTGTTTGTTGTTGTACCAGGAGAAGCTCGGTCACACGCTAATGTCATTAGTTCCTTATCATTACTGAGCTGCAGGACTACATTTCTCTCCCTATTTTTCACATCATGTCGCCTGCCTGGATCTGTTATCTCTCTCTGAAGCACGGGCGAGTGTCAGAGGTAAGCTCGTTTCAACTGCTTTTTACGACACTGTCTCATTTCCAGACTGAATGAAGCCGATATTTCAGTTAAAAAACATAAGTAAAAATATTTATCCAAGTATAATACTACCCCCCAACTTTATGGATGATTTTATGGATTAAATTTTACACATTATACTTGAATAAATACGGTAATCTGAACCATTGACCCTGTTTGAACTGGGTGACACCACTCTGTATGGACAACTCACTGGTAGCAGAGATGTGCCGGCTGGCGCAGGCCTGCTGGAACAAAGCGTAGAGCTCTTGGGCGCTGGAAGCCTCCTTTGTTTCTGCTCCTTGAGCGAATACAACCCCCTTTCTGTTCCTCTTGATCTCCACCCGCCTGGCTGGGCCGTGGGCTTGCGTCTGTGCACTGGCCTCACCAGCCTGGCTGACCAGCAGGTCCTGCAGCCGGTCGTTGTACAGCTCCAGCATGTAGGCCGAAACCTGGAGAACATAAAACGTCATTTATTTATTTTAGCTTTGGGGAAAAAATATACAGTATATACTGTATATATATATATATATATATATATA